CATTTTGGAACCCTCTGATTTTTTAAAATTATCCACCAGATTTTATAATGTGATCTGGGGTGGCCTTTCTGAATCCAGCTTGTGTATTGCCAGTTCTGTTGAAGACCGGAGAAAAACCTTGAGTTTTCTCTGCTTAACATATGTGATACAGGTAGTGCTTGCTTAACCACCACAATTGGGACCAGCCACTGTGTTGCTATAGCAATAGCAATAGCACCTAGACTTGTATACTGCTTCACAGCCCTCTCTAAGTGGTTTACAGAGTCAGCCTATTGCCCCCAACAATCTGGGTCCTCATTTTACTGACCTGGGAAGGATGGAAGGCTGAGCCAACCTTGAGCCAGGATCGAACTGCTGGCAATGGGCAAAGTTAGCCTGCAATCCTGAATTATCACCACTGTGCCACCATGGTTCCGCAGTCTCTAAGTGGAAAATCATGTGACTATAATGGCTTACAGTATCACTTGCCCTTTAGTTGTTAAGCAAATCACTATGATCATTAAGCAACAGATCACATTTGTGATTTTGCTTTTATAATCTCCATTAACTCTGCTTGTCAGAAGCTGGTTGTGAAGCACCTGAAGATGATCAAGTGATTGCAGGATGCTTCAGTGATCATACTTATTGATTGTGATACTAAGGAGATTACATTGATGTTAAATTTAATTACAGCCGCAAGGTTGTTAGTAGGGCAATGTTGGAAGAAGGAATCTTTGCCTACTTTGCAAGAGTGGTTTCTTAAAGTTTCTTATTTGGCGGAAATGGCAAAGATTTCGGCTTTCTTGAAGGATCAATCGCAAGAGAAGTATGTTGCGGTATGGAAAAAATGATAGATTTTATACAACATAAGTTGGATATAAAAAAATATTATTTAGTTTTTTAACAATTTATATTTAAAATTGAATATGTTTTTTTTTGTTCTTCTTTTTTCCCTTTTTTTATTCTTTTCCTTTCTAAACATTTATTTTTTGTATTCATGTTTTTTTATATATATACTATTGTTAATTATTTTATAATTTTTTTAATTAATGTATTTAGATTTCTAACTAATGTATTTAGATTCATTTATGGTTTATATCTTTTTTAAAGATTTTTTGATGAAATTTTAATTAAGCCTATATTCAGCTCTGGGAAGGTCAGGGGAGGGAATGGGAGGGTTGGGGAGGTTGGGGGGAAGATTGTTTTGTTTTTGTAAAATCTCAAAAATTTAATAAAAATTATCTTTGAAAAACGTAAGTGTGAGGGCTGATCACAAAGTTTTTTTTTTTTTTTTTAACACCGTTGCAACTTCAGTCGCCAAGTAAGGCCAGTTGGTAAACAAGGACTATCTCCAAGTACAATTTTTGGTAGTTTGGAATTCTGCCTGTTTTGGTATTGGAAATAAAAGGATCTTTTCCTGTATCTTGGCTATTGGCCCTTGTTGTGTTTTATACCTGGTTACAAATTGTATGAAGCACTTTAACTGCATCACTTTGTAAGATTTTAAACAGTCACTCTGGTATTTCATCAACTCTGGTGGCTTTGTCATTAGCAATATTTTCTCAGGGCCAGTTAATTTTACTTTCAGAATATCTGGCTCACGTCCAATGGTCAAATCTTCATATATATCAGGGATTTGGGGATTTTTTGTGTGTGTGCAGTTCCATATATTTCTACTATGTCATCTTTCTATCTTCTTTCTCCAATAGATCTTTGCGTTCTTTTATCATGCATCTTTTCAAGGTGTAAAGAAGCAGCCCTTTGGCCTTCTACATTTCAGGATATTTTTGCTTGATTCATCTTTAATGGTATCATTCGTTTCAGCTTAGATTTTTTTTAGGTACTCTACCAAAACAATCCATTGAATCTATTCTTTCTTTTTACTGCATAAACATTCAGAATACTGCTGAGGTTGTAGCTTGTTGACCTGATGATTTGATGTGTGTGTTTTAGTTCAATTCGTAATTTTACAAGAAGGAGGTTGTGACCTGAGATACAATCAGTGTCTGAGTTGGTTTCTGCTGACAAAAGAGTTTCTTCAGAGGACAGAGTCAACTTGTTTTTGGTGTGGTCCATTCAGTGATGTCTATGTGTAAAATATTAACCCTGAATGTTCTTGGCAGAAGTCTAGTAATCTGTCTTCTATTAGTCTCATTCTCAAAGTCCAAATTTTCCTGTTATTCTGGATGTTATTTTACTTCCAACTTTAGTGTTCCAGTTGCCGGTGGCATCTTTCCTTGGGTGGAGTTAAGAAGGTATTGCAAATCATTCTAAAATTATTCTGCTTCCTCTGCATCAGTACTTGAAGCGTAGCCCTGGACCATCATAATAACACTTGGCTTGGATTCAAAGTGAGATAATTTCTTGTGTTATATCCAACCACTGACTTTGATAACCTTTTGTTAATGAGCTTGAATGGTGCGTGTAGAGCAGTGGCTGGTTCCATGGAGAAAGGGTTTTCCTGGACCGAAGTGTGTGTGGTTTTGCATGCTGCCTGCATCCCACGGATGGGGCTTTGCTTGTTTGTGTGGACCAGTTGCTGGAATGCTATGGACCGGTGCAGGTCCACGGACCAGGGGTTAGGGAATCCCTGGTGTAGAGGCTGCAGCCTTTGTTAGCCTTAGAAGAAACAAGAAGAGTCACTACAAAACAATGATCAGACAAGCCGGCTTGAACCTCTTCCAAATGTGAATAAATGTCTGAGATAGACTCCTCCCTAATTCACATGACAATAAATTGAGAAAGGGGGAACCCCTTTCAAACATTTTAAGAATCTGTTGCTAACAGTGGTCCAAATAAAAGTAATTCTACATTATATGGTGTTAGTTTCTTAGTCTGGGTTAAGTTTACAGAGTCGACAGATTGGTGTATCCATCCTTGCGTTCCTTAATAGCTCAGTGACTTATGATGTCATCAATCTTGGTATCTCTCTGGATTGGCCTTGGGGTTTGGCAGTGGGGCCACCATGTTACAGTAGACTTAGTCCTTCTGTAAATGGTATCATTCTGTATTAATGAGGGAAAGAGGTTATGCCTGTAAACTTTCATTTGTTGGGTGCCTCAGAGTTCAAATGTTCTTGCATCTTCTGTTTAACTTTCCCATGAAATGGCTGGGTCAGGTCATCTGTGAATTTGGACTCTTGTATGCAGATGATCCCCAATTGCACATCTCAACCCTGGGTAGTACAGATGAAGCTATTAATGTACTAACCCAGTATCTGTAAGACTTTTGGGGTCTGGTTGAGAGAAACAGACTCAGGTTCAATCCTGACAAGGGTCTGTGTATACTTGGGCCCCATGGAATTGGGGACTTTTTGTCTTTGGTCTTGGAGAGGATCACAATTCCCTATTTGAGACTGGGGTGCTATCTGGAAGTTGTCCTGAAAGAGCAGGTGGCAATTCTGCCAGGAGAGGTTTTTGTATGGGTCCTTCTATTGCAACAGTTGCATCTGTTCCCAGGCTGGGAGGCCCTAGAGTAGATCCAGCAATGCAACCACTACTGCTCTACATGCTGTAGTGGTTGCCATTTGGCTTCCAGGTACAATTCACGGTGCTGTTTATCACCTACCAAGCCCTTCCTAATAGACAGTCTGATTATTTGAGGGACTACTTAAAGCCAATAATCATCCTGTAAGATGAGACAGTATGGGTATGCTCTAGATCCCTTTGTTCAACAACGTCATCTTTTGGGATCTGGATATTGTTCTTTCTTTGTTGGATGCTTGCTTGCCTCTGGAACAGCCTTTGCCCAGAAATCCATACAGCTCTCACCCTGATGAGGTTCTGTAAATCTTTGAAAACCTGACTTGGGGAGACCCATACCTTGGGGAAGGGTGGTTGTTGAATCCCTGTTAGCTTTTCTTTGGCGTTGATCTTTTCTCCAGATGAGCATGATCTTTCATTCATTATTCTTTCCTTTTTAAGTTGGAAGGTATCCAAAATCATGGACTCAGGCAGCCTCTAAATTAAATTAAATTAAATACATATCTTCTATGATTCAGGATCACTAGAAGATTAGATGGTCTTCAGATATGAATTGACTCATTCCAGTCTATTTCAGCTCTGCAACTGCCAGAATGTCAAACTTCAGCCTTGACATTTCAGTTCTGAGAAGATTATCTGTGCTTATGGTTCTGTCATTCCATGTACCAAGAGTATATATATCTTCACAGTTTGCTTCTGGGCACAATGGCAGCTAGTTGTCCTTCCAGCTTTAATTCAGTCATATCACCAGCAGTAATGCTACTGATACTTGCCCTCTGTTCTTCCTCAACAGTTTCCTGGATATTTACCACCCCGGGAACTTATCTTCCAGTTGCATGTTGACTCTATCCTGGTTCTTAATGTCCACTGGGTTCTCTGGATAGAATATTGGGGGGAGGGGAGGATCTCATTTCCTTCTCTAGGGGCTTGCAGTTGTCTATGCCATGCCCATCAAGGGTGACCCTTCTGGACCAACAGTTCATAGCATCCCTTGGTGGACAAATCTCCTCCCATTACATGGTGATTATCCATGAAGGGAATCAACAAAATATTATGCTGTTATTGAAATGAACAGGGGAACTAAAAGCTTGGGCAGAACTAGAGAGCCATTTTAATGCTCATTCCACTTTGTGAACAGTAATTTCAGACAGTGATTATCTCGCTTGGCTATTTTTCAGTTCTTGGTACAAAAATGTTTGAATCTATCACCCTCAATTTCCGATTTCTTCATCTTCCCTCACTTACAAACTTGCTTGTTTATATCCTTTCTTACTCTTTCTCTTTTAACAAGCTCTGACTGGCTGGCACAACCAACCATTGATAATGTTCCTAGGCTGGGAAAATGAACAAGCAGCATCATTTTCACAAGTAAGCAAGCGTGTGAAATACGTTTCTTATAGTTTCTTATCGTCTTCTGAAGCTCAATTTTCAATAAAAATCGAAAGGGAAGACCCACAGGCAGGGCTTTTACAGTGTATTCAAGATGGCAACCTTTCCCCACAAGGAACCAACTTCTCAAAACGTCACAGAGGTTCTTACCGTGGGCATCCCGGTAGTAAGCGTGGGTGACACTGCGGAATCTCTCCTGGCCAGCAGTGTCCCAAATCTGAAAAGGGCAAAAAGCAGAAAACCACATGAAAAAGTGCGGGCAAAGTGTTGACAGAATGGGACAACTCACCATGACCAACTCACCAGGGCCAGTTCACCGCAGGACAACTCCCCATGGAACATTTCAATTTAATTATTTAAAATAATTTAAAAAATATTTTAATTTTTATCAGTCACATTTCATTCTGTCCCTCCTTTTGCATCCTTTCTTTAATTGTTCTATTCTGCCATTTCTTTGATATTAGTGTGACTCTTGTCCCATGGCGAGTTGTCCTGTGGCGGGTTGGCTGAGGTGAGTTGTCCTAGACCAGGGGTAGACAACCTTGGCTCTTTTATGACTCGTGGACTTCAACTCCCAGAATTCCTGAGCCAACATGGGGGAACTGTGGCCCTTTCATGACTCGTGGACTTCAACTCCCAGAATTCCTGAGCCAGCATGGGGGAACTGTGGCCCCTTCATGACTCGTGGACTTCAATTCCCAGAATTCCTGAGCCAGCATGGGGGAACTGTGGCCCCTTCATGATTCGTGGACTTCAACTCCCAGAATTCCTGAGCCAGCATGGCTCAACTTGGAAACCTCTCCCTTTCCCCTCAGCATAGCTGGCTCAGGAATTCTGGGAGTTGAAGTCCACGAGTCATAAAAGAGCCAAGGTTCCCTACCCCTCTCCTAGACCCAAGTGTTGATGTCACCAAGTGTGAGCTGTGCAACCATATAAATGTGTTAAATTAATGAATATAAATATCCAGAGAGTCCACCCAGAGGGAGAAAGGGGAATACAAGTATTGTCTTGCTTTACAAGTATTACAAATCCCAAACACAAATTTTCCTTTTCAGTAAATTGGATCCAGGACACAGTAGCTATATTTGTCGTCCTAAAATTAATGGCAGATATAATTTAGCCACAAGCACCGTTTTACATTCAGTTCAGATAGGCCAAGTGAGGCTGTTTTGATCTGGATCCAAACGGATACAGTTTCTCAAGGAAAAGTGACCTCTTCTTTTTTTAATGGTCAATGAAATGTTTAAAAAATACTATTGTTGTGGCTGAGGGGCTCTTTTAGGAATACCAATACATTTGCCTGATGGAATTTAGCACGGGTGGGGGAATGATACTGAAAGAAAAGTCTCTCTGGCCTCTTTAGGCAAATAGTTTTGTCGGTCTTGGCATCCACAGTTAATTATTTAAACTTATTTGTGATCTTATTGTGCCAGGCAAATATTGTTAACATCTGTCTATATCTCACACTTCTTCCATCCAGGGGATAGAAGAGGACAACACACACAATTTTATGTCCAGGTTAAATGAGCAAAAATAAATAAAGTGACCAAACCTTTTAATTTTTTTTGCAAAAAATAGTAAATAAAAAGTGGCATTCATATGAATGCCTAAGCAATTTAGTCTTAAGCATATGCTCAGAATTACCTTGTATACTTTTGAGTAAATTTAACTTCAGAAGTGAGGGGGAAAGTGAGAACAAACAGATGCTTTCAAAACCACAGACCAAATTTCTAAATGGCCCCTTCAGTCCTCCAGCAACAGAACATTCAAACATGGGAAGAATGAAAGTTCATGAGATCCTTGTCCAACTCATGCTAGACAGGTGGGCCTGGAGTAATATCAGCCCTTCTTCATTGTATGGTTCCTCGGGGTTCACTTTCTTTGTTCTCTTGTTACTTTCCACACAATTAGTTGCCGTTCAAAAGAAAATGAACTTTTCCAAACTCAGTGAGCCTTTCAAAGCAACATTAATTTTTTTTTATTATTTTATTTTCATTACAATCATAAGAAAAAAAAATTCAGATACATAAGAAGTTAAAATACAACACACAAATTCCGACATTGCTCACCCATTTCCCCCCAGACCGCATCCCCCTCTCATCTCTTCACTTCCCCCTTCCTTCTGCCTCCTCCTCCCCTCCCCTCCCTCTCTCCTCCATCTTTCTACTTACCAAGAGTATAATACTTTACTAAAAAGTTACGTTGGCAAAGAGGAGGACCGAAGGCAGCATGCATTGTTTGGTGGAAAGATGGTGGAAGCATCTCAGGGGAGAATTGCACCGGTAAAGATGGATAACTTTATATATGTGAAGTGAAGGAGGAGGTGGATGGTCATAGTGGCATGGATATAATTTGGCCAAGTGAGATAAGAGAATCAGTGGGGGAGGCAAACTTGTACATCACAGACATTATAGAGAAAGAAAACTATGACCATCATCAATGAACAGACATTTCAGATCAGCCATGGGGCTCTTTAGGATTTGTTGTGATAAGCAAAGCAACTTATTAATGTGTAGAAGAAACTGAAAAATTCAGCTAATGGTTGGAAATGCCGAACTATTTCATCTGAGGCGAGAGAAGGCTCCCTTTTGTGTAGAAGGGATCCTGCATATTGCCATTTCTACACAAAGGGAGCCTTCACCTGTCTCATTTGAATTAGTGTGGCATTTCCAACCATTAGCTGAATTTTTCAATTTCTTCCATACTGGGGACCAACATAATATTTATGTTGAAATAACTGCAGTTTTATATCTATGAAATGTAATTTATAGATAACAAAATAATTTTCACCAATGAAGGCGAATCTACATGTCCCAGGATAATGTTGCAGGATAGAATCAAGATCACGTGAAGTATTAATATCACTTTACAATGCCTTGGTAAGGCCACACTTGGAATATTGCATCCAGTTTTGGTCACCACGATGTAAAAAAGATGTTGAGACCCTAGAAAGAGTACAGAGAAGAGCAACAAAGATGATTAGGGGACTGGAGACTAAAACATATAAGGAACGGTTGCTGGAATTGGGTATGTCTAGTTTAATGAAGAGAAGGATGAGGGGGGACATGATAGCAGTGTTCCAATATCTCAGGGGCTGCTCCAAAGAAGAGAGAGTCAAACTATTCTCCAAAACCCCTGAAGGCAGGACAAGAAATAACGGATGGAAACTAATCAAGGAGAGAAGCAAGAATTAAGGAGAAACTTCCTGACACTGAGAACAATTGACCAGTGGAACAACCTGCCTCCGGAAGCTCCAACACTGGAAGTGAATGCTCCAACACTGGAAGTGAATGCTCCAACACTGGAAGTTTTTAAGAAGAGACTGGACAGCCATTTGTCTGAAATGGTGTAGGGTTTCCTGCCTGAGCAGGGGGTTGGACTAGATGACCTCCAAGGTCCCTTCCAACTTTTTTTTCATTATTATTATTATTATTTAAGATCCAATCTGGGTCAGTCACTGGGACCAAGGTTTCAGTCTTCCGAGCTTTCAGAAGGAAACAACAGCCAACGACTTAATAGCCAACCATCAACACCCCAGTCAACAACTAAAAAGCCCCCACACACAATCAGGCACCACATAAATACTACACACAGAATAGCCCAAATTGATGTGCAGTTCTTAGATAAGCAGAGTAAAACAAAACAGGGAGAACTCACTAGAAAAGATTAAGCTTAGATTCTCTGGTAAAATGCTTTATTAAATTAGTGAGTGCACCACTCACCAGAAGAAAGATGGCGGATTTCCCTGAAAGAATTGGCGGTTAAGATAAATTTGATTTCTTTAAAAAAAAATCTAATTCATATGCTTGGGAATAAACAAGAAGCATCTGAGCCTACTCAAAAACAGAAAAAAATGGATTAAAAATAGAATATGAGCAATAATGTCATCTTGTTAGCAACTTCTTAAATTATGAGCAGTGTGCAAAGCCTCATCATAGATGTTGCGCTGCATGTTTAGTCAATGTTTGCCTCATAGAAAAATTACCACCACAAAGCTTCACACTCAAAAAGGGTTACAGGGAAAAAAAGAACTCAGTCTTCTCCATCTTATTCCAAGAGTTGTTGTTGCTGCTGCTGTTGTTGTTATTCACACATAGTGTCTCTGTAGCGCTTCTGGTGGGAAACTTGTGATTATTCAGGTGTTGTTCCCATGACACCATCTTGGGGAATAGTGAACGAAGCTGGGACTTGTAGATCTGGAAGTTCACAGTTCTCATCTCCTTTAAAATATTAATCAGAATTCTTGGTGCAGCATTGCTATTTGGTATGAGTGTTTGTAACTTATTATTCACGTTACAACTTTTCCACTGAATGACTACTTTCCAATATTTATCTACTTGGACTTCATAATGAACTTGAATTATGGCAGGTAATATACAGACTGAAATATTTGCTTTTAAAAAATAAACAAATTAATCATCTTGAGTGCTAGAACCAGCATGCATCTCGGCTGAAGGCCATTCTTCCATGCACACTGGATTACATACTCAGGCGGAATAGTTAAGGTGGGGGACTAAAACTGGGGAGATTTGGGTTGTACGTTCAGTCCTGGAAGTTCATCAAATGACTCGACTGTGTTACTTTCCACCCAAACTACCTTGCAAGTTATTTAATTTCTGTCATTCACATTTCATTCTGTCCCTCCTTTTGCAGCCTTTCTTTAATGATTCTACTCCCCCATTTCTTTGATATTAGTGTAACTCTTGTCCCACGGTGAGTTGGCCGTGGCAAGTTGGCAGTAGTGAACCGGCTGTGGCTAGTTGGCTGCAGTGAATTGTCACAGACCCTCTGCGATGTGTGTGAATTGAAGCTCCTGGAAGAAGGCAAGATAATTGCCAGTTTTAAAAATGGCTGCTCAGCAGTTTTGCCGTTTTGTTAACGCTGGCACTTTTCTTCTTGAAGGAATGGGATGGCTTCCCCACCTCCATTTTGCAAATGACCCAAGAGTCCATCAACAGGGACAGAAAGTGTAGTATGCTGAGGAATGATAGGGCTGTGAGGAGATCAATATGGAAGGAAGTTACCTGGACAACTGAAAGTGCAGAGAAAGTGAAAGTGGTGAAGGAGAACGTGTGCAGAAATGAATGGACTGTCCAAAGAAGAAGAAAGCAGTTGTAGAAGAGAAGAACAAAAAATAATGTTGAGCAAAGAGAACATTAAGAGGCAAAGAGGAGGACTGTCAACTGTCCAGTTGGCATTTCCAGAAAAAGAAACTCCTGGGACATGATTTTACCAAGAGTATAATACTTTACTGACAAGTTACGTTGGCAAAGAGGAGGACCGAAGGCAGCATGCATTGTTTGGAGGAAAGACGGTGGAAGCATCTCAGGGGAGAATTGCACCGGTAAAGATGGATAACTTTATATATGTGAAGTGAAGGAGGAGGTGGATGGTCATAGTGGCATGGATATAATTTGGCCAAGTGAGATAAGAGAATCAGTGAGGGAGGCAAACTTGTACATCACAGACATTATAGAGAAAGAAAACTATGACCATCATCAATGAACAGACATTTCAGATCAGCCACGGGGCTCTTTAGGATTTGTTGTGACTATCGCTTCCCACAATTTGTCATACAGTGGTTGTTATATGTGAAGGTTCTGGAAAGAGACCTCAGTAGGAGATGACAGAACCTGGCACGACAACCTGAACTTGTCTGAAGGGACAGCTGGTTTAACCTACGAAGATGGACCAGAGCATGAGCTGAAGACGGAACACTTGAGAACTACTTAAGTAGTTCTTTGCCATGGGCAGACCATTTTGTGATCAGCCTGAGACTAGTCACCATTATCAACCTCTGCAGCATAGTGGTCTTTGATCCATCACAGGTGCTTTCTGGATCTGCTTGGATTACCACAGATACTTGAGGGCAACCAGCAACACCATGGGAAATTCTTTGATGAATCTAGTTAAGCACTTATACAGCGGCTGCTATGGTGCTGGATCAGATTGCCCGCTTGCATCTCTTCCTGACCAGAGACCACTGGGTGGGTGTTAGTTTGCCAGGAGATGGGCAAAAAAGATACCTGGAACACTTGGGACAGAAAACTGAGAGCAAATAAGTTTGAGGAATAGCAGAGCCTCATGTTCAGGTCTACAATGTGCTGCTTAAGGACAATAAAACATCACTATTTCTCAAACCTTGTATATTTTATGATTATCACTTTGTTGATTATATTTTATTATTTATGATTGTATCTGATTTATAATTAAATGACTGATTTATGATTTATCACTTTGTTGCTTGTATGTGTACACTGGAGACAAATTTCTTTTGTGTCCAATCACACTTGGCCATTAAAGTCAAGTTGTTTATTCTATTCTATTCTATTCTATTCTATTCTATTCTATTCTATTCTATTCTATTCTATTCTATTCTATTCTATTCTATTCTATTCTGTTCTGTTCTGTTCTGTTCTACTCTACTGTACTCTACTGTACTCTACTGTACTCTACTGTACTCTACCCTACCCTACCCTACCCTACCCTACCCTACTCTACTCTATTTTTGGAATTCCATCCAGCAATAGAACTTTAGTTTGGCAGTATAACTTCAATATTTCAGATGCAGCTCTGGCTTCTTTAGGTTTTTGAGAAGAATTGAAAGTGTTAGTTTAATCTATAAACCCATGTTGGGTTGGTACAGAAGGTCTTAATGGGAACATCTCCTCCAAGTGGGCTCAGGCTGGCTGTTCCCTCTGCCTGTGACAAGTTGTTCTGTGTCCAGGAGGCGACTAGGAGAGATGCTAACAAATAAACAACATCTGAATGGAACAGGATGCTGGTTGCTCTACAGAAGCCACAGATACAACAAACAGCAAAACATTCAGGATCAACACTGACACATGGCTTGGCTTACCTGCAGTTTTACTTTGACACCATCCACATTCAAGACTTTATTCTGGAACAGAAAAAAAGAACTTGGTGTCAGATCATCAGCAACATACCCTCTCACTGCAAGATTCCTTTGAGAAAAGTTATATAAACTTTCTGGTTGATTAAGACCCAGGAAAAAAGAAAAGCACCCTCAGGACATTCCAGATAGTCCTCAACTTACCATCAACAACTATTGGAAGTTATGACGGTACTGAAAAAGGTGACTTACAACTTGTCCTCACACAACAAGAATTTTTCCCCAACGCTGTGAGTTTTCAGTTTAAAGCATTGATTTCTCCACCTTGGCAAGTTTTACGATGTGTGAATTTCAACTCCCCAGTAGTCCCCAGAAATTTACACATCTGTAAACTTGCAATTATCAACAGGGTTATTAAAAAAAAAACTTCAAGCAGCAACCTGGTGCTTTGCAATGGGAGGGAGGGAGTGGGGTTGGGACAAACTGGAAAGAGTTGCAAAGCTCGGCATTCAAAAGAGCCTGAATCCAACTTCAGCTGCATTCTCCTATTTGTGTAGATATAAGAGGCTGTGAGAATAACCTTGGGAGACAGGAGGAAAAGCTGGACAAAGATCTGATAAAAGAAATCATAGTCCAAAGGAGTGATGGGGTGGAGAAAGTATCGTAAAAGGGACCCTCCCTAATATGCTGGAATGTAAAGGCTGGGGGGGGGGAAGCACTTTCAGACTTATAATATTCAGTTACTGTAATCTTACTCCATCTTGGCTGGACCTGCCTTCCCAGAAAAGGAGAAAGTGGGGGGAGATTCCTGAGCCAGAAAGCCATAAGTGCTACTCTGTGGGGGAAAAACGTGCTGCAGCTTTGAGATAAACCCTCAGAACACAAGATGACATCAGTGGGAGTCCATCTAAATTAAATTTGACAACTAAATTTGCGAAATAATTACAGGGCAACTCTAATTGTTCTGGGTTCAAAGACAAAAGCCAAGAGGAACTACTCAATCTATCATTATTAATCATAACCATAACACACACTTTAGCACTGTACATCAGCAATGTTGAAAATGTTCTGAACTGAACACGGCCATTTCCAGGGATGCAACCTGGGAAGAAAACAGTCCATAGCGCAAAATAACTCCTTGCTCTGTGCTTTTCATTCGAGAACCCTTATGTCACATGGAGTGATAGTTATACTACTCTATGCTACTACTCTCTAGGGGGGGGGAAAGTTAAAGGAGATCATTTTTAATTTTTAAAATACTAGCATGGCAATCAATGGAATATTAAACACACAGTTAGCTGGCAGTTTCTACATTCACAAGTAATCCAAAGGGCTTGGTGGTGTCTTGACACTTTTTCTTGGAATGGTTCCACCGTTTTATATTCCCTGTACTAGAAAACCCATGAAGGTTGGGGATGATAGGAACTGACTAAGAGAACAGTTGGAGAAGGCAGACATTGGCAACTGTATTGCTGCAGCTCTAATCTCAGGGCTTCTGCAATGAGTTGATGGTCTGGAATAGCAAATGCTTCAGGATGGACAAGAGGGCCAACCCAGGCACAGAAATCTGGCTGGAGAAGGTTTCAGCAAAATGTGGAATTTTACCAGGCGTTTACAGGAAGACTGAAATCTGCCCATTTATCCTCAGATGTTCTGCACAGACTCTGTCTCTCAGACAGATACCTTAGAGCAGGGGTCCCCAACCCCCAGTCCGTGGATCAGTACCGGCCGCAGCATGCCAGCAACCAGTCCACACAAACAAGGAAAGTCCCACCCACAGGATGCAGGCAGCACATAAAACCACGCCCCCTCCGGTTGGCGGAAAAACCTCTCTCCACCTAACCGGTTCCTGGTGCCCAAAAGATTGAGGACCTCTACCTTAGAGCAGTGGTTCTCAACCTGTGGGTCGGGACCCCATTTGGGGTCGAACGACCATTTCACGGGGGTCGCCAAACAACGCAGTCCGCCATTTTTTCCCCCTTTTCCTTACCTGTGCTACTCCCTTTTATTCTATTGGCTTTTGAACGCCAATAGAATAGACTCTCTTGAATAGAGTCTAATTCTATTGGCTTTCCAAAGCCAATAGGAATTGTCCAGGCTGTCTCGGCCCTGCTGAGCCCGCCAAAAGTCCCAGTCTGCAAACGGTGCTGCACCCGTTGAGTAGTCCTCGACGTACGACCGGTTGAGTAGTCCTCGACTTACGACCGGTTGGGGGTCGCAGCATTAAAAAGGTTGAGAACCACTGCCTTAGAGCATCAGGAAGGTGGCAGGCTCAGTGGCCGATCAGTTCACAATTCAAGTGTAACTAATTGTCACCAGTAAAAATTACTTAGAATTTGGTGGGAGAAATAAACTAAAATAAGGGCTGTAACAGGATTGATGATAAGGCAATTTAAATGAATGGAAAGAAAAGAATGCATTAATATGATGATTATTTTTTTTAGGAATATTGGAAAAAATATATACCAAATTGTCACTTATTAAAACAATAAGAATTATATTAAAGTAATGTTTGCAAAAAAAAAGGATGTTTCAGGGAAAGAGGAAAGTAAACAAAATTAATATATGAAATACAGACTATAGAAATTAATTGTTAAGGATTGTTTTTACAAATGTAACCCAGACGTCACACTGTGTACCAACTATTGTGACTTAAGTTTGTGCAAAAAAATTAATAAAAAATATAGAAACAGTTCACAATTCAAGGAAATAGCTCAGGATTAGCCTCTCCAACACAACCAAGAAGGATAAGCGCAATCCAGGACATTCTTCACCCATTACAGGTCCTGGATTGGCAACTTAATTGGCAACATCCTGGCCCCAGCAGGACAGGATGGCAAGAGCTTTTCCTGTTTTTCTCCAGACAGCTGCTATTCAGAGATACTCTACCTCTGGACATGGAAGCTTACTCAGCTGTCACCAGAACATGCTGGAGTCCACCCTAGCAGCAGCCAAGCTTGAGTGGCACACGCTCTCTCCTATGGCTTGGAGGATTCTGTGACTCTGAGGGCTGCATCTCAGCTTGAGCAGAACAGGAACCCAGAGACACCAGAGGCTGACCTGTGCATGCCAGGCCAGCCTTCAGGAGTGAAATATGCCTCCAGATTGAATTCAGAGAGGAAACCATCACTTCTTGGAAGTAGAAGAAAAATTTGATAGCCTCCACAGAGATCCCCAATCCCCAGACCACAGACCACTATCAGGCCATGACCAGTTTGGAACTGGGCCACAGAAGTGACGGGTGAGCACATGTGTGCAGCTGCACTTATGCAAGCAGCAGGTGAGTGCAGGCACGTGAAGCTCCATTTGTGTGAGCGGCCTCTCCCTCCCTCCCCCCCTGCAAGTCCGCAAAGTCTTTCTGATTTTGGAGAACGTTGGAGAACGCTGCTCCACAGGATTTCTGTAGGCCAGCCAAGGTGATGCAGCTGAAGGAAAGATGTGGAGAAACAGGGACCTCCACAAGTGTTGCTCTGAGACCTCCACAAGTGTTGTTCGCGGACCTCCCACACAGCTCTCTATTTCAAAGAGTCCAGCAGGAGGCAAGGATGGTTAAAATTCAATGTTAAAAAAATAATAATTAAAAAGCAGGGATGCTTTTGGGATGCTGACCAACCCAATGGCTGTGTACTTCTCTGTGCTCCCCAAGCAAAGCCACAGAGTCATGTTCTCACACCTTTCCAAAGGGCGTCCACTGTAAAATGCACTCAAGGATTCTGTAAAATTGGAGTAGCCCACTTTTATAAAGTGGTATTAACACATGACAGGTTAATACCACTTTATAATGCCTTGGAAAGGCCACACTTGGAATACTACATCCAGTTTTGGTGGCCATGATATAAAAAAGATGTTGAGACTCTAGAAAGAGAGCAAAGAAGAGCAACAAAGATGATTAGGGGGCTGGAGGCTGAAACATAAAAAGAACAGTTGCAGGGATTGGGTTTCTCTAGTCTAATGAAAAGAAGGACTGGGGGGGGGGGGTGACATGATAGCAGTATTCCAATATCTCAGGGGCTGCCACAAAGAAGAGGAGGTCAACCTATTCTCCAAAGTACCTGAAGGCAGGACAAGAAGTAATGGATGGAAACTAATCCAAGAGAGTACCAATCTGGAACTAAGGAGAAATTTCCTGACAATTAGAACAATTAATCAGTGGAATGACTTGCCTCCAGACGTTGTGGCTGCTCCAACATGGAGGTTTCAAAGAAGAGATTGGACAACCATTTGTCTGAAATGGTATAGGTTTTTTGCTTGAGCAGCGGGTTGGACTCCAAGGTCCCTTCCAGCATTGATTTTATCATGCTGGGGGCCTCTCCATTAATTATTGCTTGCAAGCAAACCAAACTGCTCTTTCCTCATTTGAGGAAAGGAATGACGGCTTTACATTGAGAAGGAAGGAAGGAAGGCTTTGGGCTTGTTAGCCTGTTCTGGCACATTCTCTCTGCAGAATTGTTTTAAATGAAATCTGATAGAGAAGACATGTTTGGGGTCCCAATTTCTAGGGAACTACAATTGGTGAACCCCTAGAGATAAGATAAGATAACCTTTATTGTCATTTGTATACTGTGGGCACAACACCACACATCAAACATGAAATTTAGTTGCCTGCTCTCAAAGTGAAACACATACACGACACACACCTAAATATACTATGAACAACGCATGTATAGACCCACACCCCTACATATATGTAGCAAATAAATATTAAATATTGTCCATCTTGAATATATAACGGAAGGAGGAAGCTTGAGAGTTCGCAAGGTTAATGCTGTATGGAATGAAACTCTGGCTGAATCTGGATGTTCTGCTTCGGATACCATGAAGCCCCCTTCTCCCAGAAGGGAACAAGGAAATCAGGTCGTGAAGAGGATGTGTGGTGTCCCAGATGATCTTACGGACCCTGCTCAAGCAACGCTTCTGTGCTATGTCCTGGATGGGAGGGAGGGAGCTGCCCACAATCTTTTCGGCCATTCTCACCACTCTCTGCCCCGCCTTCCTGTCTGAAGCAAGGATGCCTCCAAACCAGACTGTGATGCTGTATGACAGGATGG